GCTCTTACATTTGTTGTACTGTGGACTGTTATTCTGGTCTGCTTTTTCTATAGAAACAATGAATGCAATCACCATGATACACACTTGATTAACAGTTGCATGAGTTTCCATCCCTACGTCCCTGCTGGTTCCACTCATTCACATGTTGGAGGGGCAAGTCAGCAGACTGGAGAGTGTAAAACGCTGACTGCTTCATGTTATGAGAAGACGGCAACATGAAAATGTAAAGCAAGCTCTCTTCTACAGACATGTCCTTCCCCAATGTGTGGATGACAGCTCCACCCCATGTCCATTAGCAGGGGCTTGATGGAGCATGAGGATCATTGTGGGGTCACCGTCCATGATCCTGCCCTCTATTCTACATGGGTCACAGATGACTTCTTAAACAGTCATTGTATCAGAACATTTTTCTTTCTGCCAACCCGTTTTTCTTTTATTGAACAATTTCAATACAGTTTCACATGAGTGCAGATGGAGTTTTAATTCCGTGCTCATGACTGTTTATTTTGGTTATGATGATTAAAATTTCTCTTATTTCAGTTCAGTTGAAAACATCCACAGACCATAGTTTAGTAATTGTCACAATAAAGCAGTCACAGTGGATTCTAGAAGAGCATAGTTCACATTACCTGAGTCCTTAATATCAAAAACCCTTTCAGATGCTATGCACATACATGGGAGAAGAGGGATTATGCAAAGCCAGCTTCCATATCTTCATAATACAAATGGAGAAGACCCTGGGAACATACACATTTATACATGTAGGGCTCTTCAACAATCAGAGCCCCTGATAATGCAGAGTCCCACAGTTTGTGGAGAAGCCACACAGCATAGAGTTCACACACGTACAGCTGTATGTGCCGAGGCTCCTCTTGGACTTAATTATGGAAATATGGAGATTGGGCATACTTAATCCTACTCTCTTCCTCTGTGCCCATGCACTCCTATTCATATGTATAGGTCTCCTAATTATCCAAATTCACTACCTTCACTTAACCCTATGCAAACAGCATTCTCATGCATCTGAGCTTTCATTATAAGAACATTTTGTGGTGCACCCCCCACCCCATAAATACATCCTTTAACTGGCTTTTTATTCATAACATGTATGAGATTAAAAATCTAATGTGATGGTAGTTATAATAAACATACACATTACTTTTATTATGGATTTATATTTTCAGTAACTTATCTTAAGAAGAAGCAACCAAAACTATGTGTTGTGAATTAAGTTACATGATGCACATTAGGGCTATCTGAGTGTATAGTTATTTGCTGTACACCATACGCACTTCTCAGGTCTCCAATATTAAGTATCAAGTATATCTCTATTGTCTGAAACATGGTTTATTTATTACTCCTGTCTAGTTTCATATGAAGGTCCTGAAGCTGCCTGCTATTACTTAATGCCATAAATGTCAAATTAATTCGACTGATTCACTTCACTTTATCTGTAGAAGCTGGTAAAACAAGAGTGTTCATGGTTTAACAAATTCAGAGAAGTGATACAAGATAGAAACTGTCTGAGTTCCTAACAGACTTAAAATGAATGAAGATTTAAAATTAACAGTAAAGTATTTTGTAGTTCAAGTATTCCAGTTAAAGGATTTTATAGTAATTTAAGACTTTCAAATAAAACAAACATCTCTTTAAGCTGAAAATAATTATGGAAAATAGTAAAACTATATAGCCTAGATGTATTCCCTTCTTTACTTTCTTTCACATATGCAGCAGAAGAAGAGTTTAGAACTTTTGTTTTAGCTTTCAGTTAACCACAGTTGGATGTGGCATTTAGACCACTGAACAGGCATTCCTACCAGTTAAATTAAACATAGTTAGTTTAAAATAAGCTAACTTTTTGCCACAGTTTTTAAAGTTAGCTTATCTTTACTAGCCATGTTGACCACAGTTCCTGATTTGGATGACACAGGAAACAAGAATCAAATAAAAATAACACAAAAACTAATTCTCTTTGCTACACAGGAGAAGAATGTGGGATTTTACAAGGCAAGGAGTAGGCTAGGCTCATTTATATCTGTCTAGACTATAATTTAATGAGTTGCCCAATAATATTTTCTTGGTTTAGGCAGATGTATCAAAGTTCAAGAGATCACCTTTCCTTCACTTTCCAAGATTCAGATAGAAATTTGTTAAATCATAATTAAACTACAGTTTACCATGACATCCAAACTGAAAAACTGATTCCAATTCTCTGGAAAACCAGGATGCAAAACACTGCCCAATTCTGTCTAAAAATCTGCTCTTTTGGGAGTGCTGGTATTAAATTTATTTATTTATTAAAAACATTTCCATGCCACCCCCATTGCAACAAAGCCTCGGGGCGGCTCACAACATAATTAAAAACATATGAATAATACTAAATACAATAAAGATTAAAAAGCCCGGTAACATCTCAGCTACAAATTTAAAATCCTATAAATATATAATAAATTAACAATTAAAATAAGTTTTAAATAAAAAGGTCTTAGTCTGGCGCCAAAAAACAAATAAATCAGTTTCTCAGTTTTACACAAAGAAGTGTGGCAGACATTTTTCCAATCATACATTCATTAGTAAAAAATAAATATATGCTAATTAAAAATACAATATTAGACAAACTTGGTAGCACTTTTATATTTTATAAATGTATTTTATATATATTTTGCTGGTGGCATTAAAAAGTTGGTACAATGCTGGAAAAAATGTGTTGCAAAGGAAAGTGACTATGTAAAAAAGGGATGTAATTTGTTTTTGAAATTCTTAATAAATAGAGTTTAAAAACATGCAGAAACTTTTTGAAGCACCCTTGTATAATAATGTTTGTCAAGTAATGATCCCTAGCAAGTATGTGAGAGAATATGTATATATGTTAATGACAATGTCTCAGATATGAAGTTCAGAGTGAAATGGAATTAATGTGCAGAGACAATGACAGTGACCTCATTCATAAATGCCAGGTTCACTGTGGGTTATTTTACCTACAATGAGTGGCACATGGCTGCCATCAAGCATATGGAGCTTCTGCCAGGATCACAGCATGTTCTCTGAAGTTGGCCACCATGGGTTATTTGAAGATTAAACAAAGTTCCTACATACTGAAGATTATGCAAGGGTTCTTTAAACCTCAAATAATCCATGGTATCCAAGTTCAGACAGCAATCTGCAACCTCAGGTTGTTGCATATTCATATTGATGGCTTAATATACTCACATGCTATAACTCATTGTGGGTTAAATAACCAATGGTGATCCTGGTTACTCATGTGAACCAATCCAATGAAACTGCAGACTCTGCAATGACCAGAGTACCAGACTAGGTCATATCTCCCATATGATGCTATGATCCAACCACAGTTTCTCTGTATTAAATTGACTTCTACAGAGGAAGAGAATCTCCCAAGTCTTTAAGCAGTGATCCCTCTGGAGCAGCTGCTCAAACCTTGACAGAATGCCCCTGCTTGGAGAAGACACCATGGGACTGACCCATTGCGAACAATGATGCTGTGATGCACTAGCATTCATACTCATCTATAGCCTAGAACACAGTTTAGTTAAGCATCCAGCGTATTACCAACCACATTCCCAAACTAGCTTACAAAATATGCTCCACACAAGTATACATGCAACCAACCCCTGGATATGTGCTGTTGAAGGCACAGCCTTAGATACAGATAAAACCAAGACAGTCTTTCTTCCCATCTCCACTGTAGGGCATAGTATCTCATATTTTCCATTTAAGTAACTGACCTACTTAAATTACAATAGCATAGATTCTGATCTGAAACTGGAGACTCACGGCTCAGTGAAATGTATGTTGCAAACACCAGCCAACATTCTGCACTGTATGCGGTCATATGTTGTTAGAATAAAAAAGGGGTGCTGTCAGTCCGTATAGTCCAAGGTACAATCTCATCACTTGCAAGAGCAGATAGCATTTGTATTTACTGTACAGTTGTCCAGGCAGGGGGTCAGAGTTTTTATTTAGAAGTGAAACATCTAATGCAACACCCAGCCAGCCTGCATAGTTGAACATGTCCCTTACAGTAGGCAACAAGCAATCTGATGAAGGCAGAAGGATCCCTACATACTTATGCACCTAAATTTAGCAGCATATGTTGAGAAGTGTTTTGGCTATGCAGACAAGCTTGGCACCTATGTGTCTCGGTTTTAGCTGGAGGAAGAATTTGTGGAAGGAGGAAAAAGGGAAAATAGTAATGCTATGCTACTAAAGTCAGCAACTAATTTTAGCAGCAGGCCAGTCTGAAGAGATGGTGAAGGATGCTGGGCCCTGCCCTTCTCTGCATCTGTTGCATTTTGGAGGAAAGAGGTATAGGCAATTGTTATAAAGCTGAAAAGGTTGACAGACATCGGATGAAGAGTTTTTAAGTTCATACTTATAACCCTCATCCAACAAAAATCTCAACAGAGCTTCACCCAAAATATTTGTCACCTTGGGTGAAGCTCCACATGGGTGTCATATATATATTACATACACTATCAGGCATACATGTCAATTTATTACATATTTCCATTCCAAATAAATATTTATTTTTTGAGTAAAGCAAGCTAAAACAATCAACTTTTGAATGTAAGAAGACAAACTGACTGTTCTTTGGTGGAAGAACTGACTGTTCATGATTGTGGCATTTACATAGGCATACTGTCATGGTTTGCTGTGTTAAAAAGTAACTTGTTTTATTAGAGGTATCAAAATGTACAGAACTGAAATTCCATCCTCTGTACTAATGATGGGCAAACCACCACCACCTTGGTACAATTTGTAACTGGGTACAGCAAAATTAGTTGTTTTCCAACCGAGAAAGAGAAAAAAGCTAAATTTATTCAGAGCCAATTGCAAAGTAGATCAAGACTTGATCATGTTCCTGAAAAGGGGTATGATACTCTTCCCCGATGCTGATTCCCATAACAGGGTCCAGAGGACAATCCCAATTTCCAGTTCAAACCAACACCATGAAAGAACATGCTTCAATTCATACTTACTTTCTGAGAACGGCAATTTCATTCTCTATGCTGCTTTCCTTTCCTTTCAGTGCTTTCTTTGGGATGCATTTGACTGCAAATAGTTTTCCAGTAGTCCTGTTTTCAGCCAAAACCACTTCAGAGAATGCGCCACTGAAAAAAACAAAAGACAAGGAAAATATGTAGATGAGAGTTTTACCCCCTTGGGAGCTGCTATCCCCCAAAAGAACAATGCAGTATTACTATTGATACTTTTCATATACTTGTCTTTTGATCCTAGAACTTGCTCTACATTTTTTTAAATGGATGGAATCAAGGGTTCTGAAGCAGCACACACCATCAGGTTTCATGTTACATCAGACACTGTTTGCATTTTGTTTCAATTTGCAATTTGTAGGAATCCAGTATGAGTGCAGAAGGAATATGGTTGAGGAGGAATAGACTATCAGCAGGCCCTGCTAGCATCAGCGCAATACTGTAAAGAACAAACTCTATTAGCTGCCAAGACACCCACTGTTCTAGGAACACTGGACTGTTCCCCCACAAGTAAGGAGCTGCCATGTTTAAACAGTGGCCAGTTCTAGTACTGTAGCCAGAGATCCCAACAGGTACATTTTGCTTCAAAGGAATGTACATATTTACATGGTTCAGTTATACTCCAGAAAGTGGTTAAATGGTGTTTAAAATTATTAAGTCATGGGCACTTAACACACAAATAAACTTGCCATAAACATATTTATACCATGGTTTAGTGGCATTTAATGTGAACCATGGCAAAACTACATTAACACAGAGGTACGTACATACTTGTATCTTTGGGGAAAGGCTTTGCTGTGTGTGTGTGGGGTGGGTGGGTGTTATTTCCTGTTTTTCTGTCCTTGCAAGCCTTCTTTCCAGACACTTTTCTTCCAGTTGGAAATAAGTCAGTTGTAAGGTGGAAAGCAGTGGAGGAGGAAGGCATTATAATTTCAGCTGCTGCTGTGCAATTTGAAATTACCCCCCGTTGCTTTACTGTTGATGTGAAATGCTCTATTCTTCCTGTGTGCTATGTGCTGTCATGTTGTCTCTGACTTACGGAAGGCCTATGAATGAAAGCCCTCCAAAATGTCCTATCCATGACAGCTCTGATCCCTCTTCCAAGTTCAAAGTGGTAGCTTCCTTATGGAATCAATCTTTCTCTTATTTGGTCTTCCCTTTCATCTTCAACGTTCAACTTTCCTTAACATGAGTGACTTCTCCACTGAGCCTTGCCTTCTCGTGATGCATCAAAAGAATGACAGCTTTGTCATTTTTGCTTCCAGGGAAAGCTCTGGCTTGATTTGATCTAGGATCCACTTGCATGTCTTTCTGTTGGTCCAACATATTCACAATGCATAATATTTTTCCCGACAGTTTTTTTCACTGTCCAGTTTTCACACCTGTGCATTGTGATTGGGAATACAATAGTTTGGGTGATTTTGATCTTGGTCTCCAGTAAAACATCTTTACACTTAGTCTTTTCTAATTCCTTAAATACTACTCTTCCAAGTCTCAGTTTCCTGATTTCTTCAAAGTCTCCCTTTGAATTGATGATTGAGCCAAGGTATATGAAATTTCTACGTTTTAAATTTCTTCTTCAATAACAGTAAAGTTCTGTAATTCTTCTGTAGTCATGAGGCTTTTCTCAATATTCAGCTGTAGTCCTGTTTTTGCACTTTCTTTTTCCACTTTTATCAGAAGTTGTTTCAAGTCATTACTTCTTTCTGCCAGTAATATGGCATCATCTGCATATCTTCAATTAGTGATATTTCTTCTGCCAATTTTCACTCCTCCTGATTCTCATCCAGCTTTCCTTATGATACGTTCTGCATACAAACAACAGATGAGGAGATAAAACACATCCTTGTCTGAAACTTTTGCCTATGGAAAGCCATTTTTTCCTCCATATTCTGTCCTAAATTAAGCATCAAAACCATCAAGCACTGAAGCATAACCATTTTCTTTTAGGACCATCCAAAGCTTCTTGCATTCCACAAAAAGATTTTGCTGTAGTGTAGTCTATAAAGCATATACTGATCTCTCTCAGAAATTCTTTGGTGTGCTCCAGTAGCCAACATATGGTGCAACATGATCTCTAGTGCCTCTTCCTTTTCAAAATTCAACCAGGACATCCAACATTTCCTGCTCCATATAGCGTAGTATTCTTTGTTGCAACAGCTTGCTTGCGTGGGAGATTAATGCAATGGTCCTACAGTTGCTGTACTCTTTTGCCTCTTCTTTTGTGGTGAATGGAATATACATTGGACATTTTTGGTCCATGGGCCATTGTTTTGTTTTCCAAATTTGATGACATTTTTAGGAGTTGGACCGGTTCACTTTCTGCAGCTTGGGGTAGTTATATTTGTATGCTTATTAAAGGTTCCTATTCATGTTTACTTGGAAACAATTTCTACAGAGTCAATGGAAATTACTTACAAGTAAAATGTCCCTAGACACAAGTAAAATTTCACTGGAGTGCAGCCATGAATTTGTACCCCAAGTCCTAAATTATGCAGCCAATTATATTCTATGGTGAACTGTATTCTGAGGCCTTACACATTCATATATTCTTTGGGAAATGCATAAATGCTAAGACAGGCTGATGCACCAATGCATACATACACCAGCCTGGAACAGCTTTGCACAGAAATGTCTTCCAGTCATGGCTCAGCACTTCAGCATGTTTGCAATGCCAGTAAATGTTTTTGAATGTACGGTATCTTAAATCAGATGCCTGGGGCAGAGAATGAGGAACTGAAGCACACCTGTGCTAGAACATGGTGATCTGCTGTTTAGTTGCTGCATACTCAACTCTTATGGGCTTCTCCAGGGTGCCCCTCCCTGACAAAGCAGACCCAAAGTAAAACTACACCAAAACACAAAGGGTTGCATGCACACATGTATAGCAGGTGCAATGCAGAAGTACTCCCACATCCTTTGGATTTAATCTGCATCACACTTCCCAAAGCTGCCATATACAATATGGCCCATAGGCATGCTCTGGTGTTAGCACAGCAGCCTTGCTTATAAGTCCACAAGAATACCACCTGCTGAATCCTCCGTGTTTGCCTGTCCAGTTTCATACAGCTTGGCTAGTCATTTGTAGCACATGGACAGCCTGAAATAAACAATCAGCTCTTCTTCCACTTTACCAAATGTTCTTTACATAGGTCACCTGGACGAAATTCTTACAAGACCCTGGGAGTGTGAGACCTTCAGATGTACACTTAGAACTGCTGTTGATAAAACTGGCAAGAATGGCTGTCATATTTTAGTTATTTGCACAATTCCTACACAACCATCTTTCTGTTTAAAATATAAATTTAATCGATCAAATTTTATCAATTTTAATCAAAATTTGATCAATACCTCATTAATAACAATCAACTTTTGACACTCATCTCCTAAGCCTATTTAAATTTGTGATGACCTCTAAGGGTTTTCTTTTCATGATGAAACTTTGCTCTTCCTGATTCACATGGTTCTAGTGACACAACAAAGGTCTGCGGTCTTGCAATTGCTTCTTTGGAAGCATTTTCCTAGATGAATCATCAGATAAGCAAGTGCATGACAGTATTGGGAAAGAGAATGAGAATAGGGAGTGGTGACTTAGTCAAATAATTCTTCCATTTACATGGACATGTGATGCAGTTTTGTTTAGTTCTTTGTCAACTCTGTCAACACTATGCACAGTTTTTGCATGTCATGCCCATCCACCCTGGGAATAAGTCACAGTGGGCTGGCTGGCTGTTCTAAGAACAAGCCATGGTGCACCCAACAGGCAAATGGGCTCACCGTGGGTTGCCACCTGACCTCACTTTCTACTTAGTCCACCAGATGGCTCTTCAGAGGACTTTGCAGCTCATGCTCATCCAGCTGTGACTGGAAATCACTTTGGCTTCCTGAAGCTTCCCCTCCCTTTTAATCATTTTTCTTTTTTGTTTTCTGCAGATTCCTATTTGTGGTCTCATTTTTGACAGCCACTGAAAGATCCTCTGAAGTGTGCAGAGAGCACATTGGAAGGGTTGTCAGTGGTTTGCCTTTTCACAAACACTTTGTGCCCCAAATGTGCACAATGTGTGTGTATGAAGCTGGATTTGAATTTCGTTGGAAAATGTGAAAGCAATCTCCAAAAAGGAAAAAGGGGCAGGGAAAAAAGCTGCAGCAGGCCAAAACCATTTCTAGGCTTTGGGGAGGGGGCAGTGAGCCAGTGAGGCTGCCATCATGCTGACTTGAAATTGGTGGAGCGGCTGGCTATCTGTGACTCAGGCAAGCTGGGCAATAGCCACAAGGGGGGCTTTGCTGCTCCTGCTAAGTGGCTTGCTCACCACTGCCCATGGTGATGCTCAACTGGGTTCAAATGATACACCAACTCACCATGGGTGAAATAGTACCTACCACAGAATATGACTTTTCAATTTAGTGCTGTAAAGCAATTTTTCTACTTATGGTACTCCCACTTAAGTTTGATCAAGGCATGTTAAAAAGTAGGATCACAATTTCACATATTCTATGTGCAGTGTTTTTTTCTTCTCCTCCCCTTCCCAAGCTGCCCTTTTTCTTCAGGTTTAGATCTGCCAGGAGCTACAGTATTCTAAATCCACACACATTAATTCTAGAGTCCAAGGTACAGATGTAATGTTCCAAGAATTGGGGGAGTGGAGCTAAAGGACTCAAAGAGGCAAGGCATTCCAGGGCAGCATTTTACAAGTGTCCATTCCCTTGTGAGAAGAGATCAGTGGAGTTCTATGGCATTACTCCAGTTTCTTTGTTTATAAACCAAATGTTGAACATAAGACAGCTGGCAAGCACACAGATGGCAAAAATCCATAAAGCAAACCCAATTCACCCCTACAGCATGCATCCCTTTCAATTTTCCCAGGCTGATTTTTATCAATTTCCTCTCGCTTACCACCCAAGCAGGTGGAGCATATCAAAAGCAAGTAGCCACCAGCCACCAAAAGCTATTAACCAAAAAATTTTTTTTTGTTCAGCTATTACTTATATAAAAGCCTTAAGAGTCTTTCTTTCTTTCTTTCTTTCTTTCTTTCTTTCTTTCTTTCTTTCTTTCTTTCTTT